ATCCGACAATGTTTTGAATACCGACACTGTCACGGAATGGGATTTAGAGTTGAATGTCGCACTGACATTACGTTGGGTAATCGACCGAGTAGAGAGTTGCGTCTACACTATGGACGAGCTACGTATCTTCTTTCTCCATAAAGTGGAAAAGCATGGACTAAATCCCGAGATGAAGGGTGCTCATATTCCGGCCGATCAGGATGAAAGAGACTTCGCCGACCGACTCCTAAAACAGAAGGAAAGTCAGATGCTGGAATTGGATATGGTACCCTTATCGGAGGAGCGCAAGGCAAAGATTCTCCGGTCGTTTATCGACATGGTCCTTGAAGTAGAGAAGGCCAAGAAGCCTGAAATGGCTAATATATGTGTAGAAACGATCGCTGAGGCCTTTGTCAATGAAACTTTCGAGGGCCTGTCTGACGAGGAGCTTCTGAGCGCAATCATTAGTTATGCCGAGCGCAAAGTGGCGGAGTATGATGCCAAAGCTAAAGGTTGGGTAGTTGACCCAGTCCCTTCTGACGATGATCCTGTTTTGCATGAAGATGGCGACGTCGTCATAATCAAAGAGAGCGATGTCGTCCGAGCGTTGGAAGAGAAGGAAGAGGACGTCGTTCAGCGCCTGAGCCAAAGGTTGATTGAGCACTTGGATGCTGTTGAAAAAGACAAGGCTGAGACTGGGGATCCCCAACTTTCCAATGCAGGAGGAGCGTCATCATCAGGGACCAAAAATTTGATGTTTTTAATTTGTTTTGTTGTTTGGTTGTCTTTTTCTAGGGATGTATTGACAATATTTTGATTTTGGAATGCAATATTTAATGTTTGATGAATGAAATATTTTTATGAATGATTTACCGTAACGTCAAAGTATGTCGGAAAGAGTGAATAAGTATTTATCAGGTTTAAAGTTTCCGACATAACATTGATAATAATTTACCTGGATTACTGACATCGGTGTAACTTTATAGTATTTCCGACATCAATAAACTCGTTTTTATTGAAAACATTCATTGTGCAAGTCCTTGAATGCCTTAAAGAACTTACGAATTTTATTGTTAATTGATCAAATCAACGTCAGGATTTGACATCAAATTTTTGATTAAATTTTTGGTTGTCGGCACAATTTATAGCTTATCCGACATCCGCAAACCCTTTATTCGAACAAGTCATAAAAGACTTGCTTTTTACTGTAAACGCTTATTGCGAGCTCATCAAATCAACGTCGGGATTTGACATTATAGAGTGTAAGCCTCCCCAAACCATCTTCAGGGCTTGGAAGTATCCGGCTTTGCTGCGTTTG